TGTTGCAATCTTTAATACTTGAACGATGCTAACAAACGTTGCTAATATTGGAGAGAAGAGATATATTGCTAGCTTAGTTATTGAATGTAATTGGGATGTTACTATCCTCCACATTTAATATGATGGGTGGTGGTGGTAGCTTACTTAGAGTAATGGATCTCATGTTTATGATCACATAGCGTCGTTTCTGACAACAGGGGTGTCCTCAGCATTTGGAGCATGGATATAGTGTTCAAAACAAAAGAAATGAGTATGTTCACAGGTGTGGTCAAGATCAATATAAACTATAGATGGATTGGGTCAAAGACTATAAGAACTGTATGAGCAGCAAAACTAGCAATGAATTTTGGTATTGTCTTACTAACATACCCTTAATGTTAAATTGTTAACTGGGTTGGCTTTCTAAGCCATACAAAAAACAAGCAATGGCGTTGAGATAGACAACTGATCGTCACCTTGCGAAGCTTAGCCCTTTCTTCCTCCAACAATTCCTCAGATCTGGCTTCTTCCTCATCCTAGTCTTCCGATTCCCCCACCTACAGCAAAGCGGAAAGTTTGTGAACAAAGTGACGATTTCTCTAACATATACATTAACGCTATCTACGATTACCTTATTATGGTCCACAGATGTATTTGTGTTCCCTTCCTGATACAATCCTCAAAAACTTAAGGAATGTGTCTTAGATTAGATTGCTTTAAGCTTGATAGAATGGAAGAGAAGACTGGTGGTTTTATAGCCTTGTTGATGCTTGATGACCTCAAACACCAAGGGTTAGACTCTTCTCAGCTCAAGGGCTAATCCTCACAAGAGCTTAGGAGATTCTACACGAAATTCTATAAGGTTGAATCCTCAAAACACTTAAAGAAATCGCATGAACAATTTGTAATGCAAAGAGACACTTTCTTTGAAAACAAAATAACTTCTTTTTGATTATAACTTGGGTAACTTTAAAAGTACAATGCTTTGAGCTTTATATAGGCTCGAAAATAATGAAATACAACGGAAATAAACATTAAAAATAGGGCAAGAATCAAGCTGAATGTTGACTGATCTCCTTACTAGCCGTTAGGCTTCAATTGGCTTGATTTGGTCTTTGGCGCTAAATGAGGGGGTTGTGTTGATTCTTTGGCACGAGATGAATGTGAGGGATCTTCTAATGATGATGAATGGTCGAGATTGAGTGATGAGGGTGGTCGTTGGTCTTCAATATTGAATTGATATGAGTGATGATCTTCAAATGGGGAAAGCTTCTCCTTAATGTAGTTTTCTTTGACTTCTGATGGAATGGGGCGATTAATGACTTGTTCTGGTGTGGTATGACTCTTGGTAGCTGCTGTGGACGTGAGGAGGGTCGAATATAATGTCTTCATACAAGTGATATCCGTTGTTTCCTTAAATAACTCGCTGAATGCTTCTCTTGGCTCAATCGTTGGTTTAGGTGGATTTGGGGGATCTTCTTGGTTAAATGGTGGCTTGCACTGAACCAGGGACGGTTTGTGGCTCTCCTTAGTTCCAAAGAATGATTTAGGTTGGTCGAATATTATGTTGGTGTAACATATATTCAGACTTTCCTTATCTAGCTCATCCGGCGGTTCAAGGGCTGTATCTCTGATTTTAGATCGAACGGCCTGGGTTTAGCTCGATCAATTTGCTCCTTGGGATGTATAGAACGCTGGCGTTTTGGTGTTTGGTCCTTAACTGCTCCATCCTCAGCTACAAAGCTTTCATTCCCCACGGCTACAAACTGTTCTGCACCATCTTTAGCTCGAAGGCTCCACTTCTTGGTTGTTTTAAGTGAATGGGACTTGAGTCTTACATCACTTCCATTTTAAACGGTGCCTGAAATGAAAATTCAATTTTACAACATGGGACCAAATCCGTTGTAACATCGAATTTGTTGGTAACAAAACATTTGTATGACTCGCTTTTGTACTTAACAGGTTAACATTATAATGAAAAGGGTGCTAACGACTTACATGTTCCACCGAGGGTGGTTCAGTAACCTTCCCGCACAGAGGGACCCTCGATGAACCAACCGTAGAAATTTGGTCAACAACATCAAGCTCATCATGGCAGACACAATTATTGGTATTTAGAAAATTACCAGCCTCAGACGAAATGCATCAGTGTTGTAGAAACCAACGACCCCTCTAACGAATCGATCCACCTCATTGGTATCGGTGTTATCGCCTTCACCCCCGTTCTCGTTTACTTTCTTTGTAATATTCACCGTATTTGGCGATTCAGTAATCGCTTTGTGGAGGCCATGACCGGAACTTGCTGACCCAGAGATGAAATGGGTTATTCGAGAAGGCTCTTCTTCTTTCTCTTCGATAATGTGGTTTTTCCTTGAGCCACTTAGTCATTTCTTCTATTATGAATTGGTTGTTAGTAATTAGCTCCTCGCTAACAACCTGCGCTAATGTCTCCAATTTGTTTCTTACAAAAACCACTAGATTGCATAATAGTGGATTTACCTTTCTTTCTTGGACCCTCGCTTCGGTGCGGGCTGTCCCACCAACTCAGCAGGTTTTCATCCTCCAACAAACATTTCTCTTTTAAATTTAAGGAAAAACTATCTATTTCCCCACATGAACTATTGTATAGCATCAGATGTTTCCCAAACTATGACCTCATTCTAAATGTCTCTAGATTTCCCCGAATTAAAAATTCGAAACCTACATCTCCACAAATATTGGTTTTAATTGGTTTATATGATTTAGTGGTTTGTAAACAAAGATTAACCAATAATAAACCAAACAAAACCTAATTTCAATCCAATTACATTAACCTAAGCCAACTATGACCTGATTACATAGACCAAACCCAATTAAAACCAACCAGAACGTGAGTTAATCGATTACTCCCTTAATCGTCCGTGGCGGAGAAACTGAAAATTCGCCAGCTACATCATCGGAAAAATTTCTGATCCCCACCGAGTCAAAGTCTCTCACCCGTCTTTTCGACATGGACTTGTTCTTTCCTTTGACCTTCCCTTGTGGGTTAAACCATCGACTCATGGCTCTCCGTGGCGACGGGCACCTTATCTGAATGCAGCCTGCTCTCACTCCTCATCCCTCTTCCATCAGAAACTTCAAACTCTAACCAAATTTTTAGCGTGATTCAAATCGGGTTAATGAGAATCAGATTAAATCTAATTGTTCTGTTCGCCAGTTTTCTTGATTTCCCCATGTCTCATCGGCATGACTGGAATCGGGTCGGCGAGTCAGTTACGTGCTCGCCACCCTCTGATCTCCTCCGCAGCTGCGACGGATTACCTATTGCATAACGTTGGAGCCACCGTGGCAGTTCTCGGTGGAGCCTACGCGCTCATCTTAAGCTTCGAGAGTAGCAAAACGTGATTCCTCAAGTCTCTTTTAATCGTTTTTTAGTCACCAAGTTCGAGTTTCTTCACCATTTTACTGCTGATGCTTCTGACAAAACCAGATCAATTCACCGTAATTCCTCTTCTAGTTCTGGATAATTTATATAAAAACTATATACATTTATATATATGCTATGAATCGATAAATTACGGTTTCTTCGTGTTGAGAAAGTAAATAAGAAGAAACAATTAAATCGTATATGGACTTTGATTCTCATTAACCCGATTTAAATTTAAGAGAGAGAGAGAGATGTAGTAATGAGAATCATGCTCGGGTTGGTTTTAATTGGGTTTAATCGATGTAATTGGGTTATAGTTTGTTTGGATTAATGTAATTGGATTGAAACTAGGTTTTGTTTGGTTTATTATTGGTTAATATTTGTTTACAAACCACTAATATAAACCAATTAAAACCAACATTTGTGTAGATATAGGTTTCAAACTTTTAATTCGAGGAGATCTAGCTCTTTAACTTTTTTCTGGAGACATCTAGAATGATAGTTTGGGAGACATCTGATGCTATACGATAGTTCTCGTGGGAAAATAGATCGTTTTCCCTAAATTTAACCCCCTCCCAAGAAGACGAAGCATGTTATCTATCATAATATCGTCCTCCTCGTCCGACCACGACAGATCCTCTTTGTCAGGGTTGAACACATTTTCTGGCCGAATGATGGACACAACCTCCACCTAATGTTTTTGACAATGATCTGTCAGTAATGGGATTCGTACACACTGAATGAACATTGGCAATGTACCTTTCAAATGAAAAACAACAGCAAACACAGAAAACACTCACATCCGAGGATTCGTCGAGTTCCCTAACATGACTGAGTTTGAACTGCGGTGGGTAGGCAGCCAGTTTCGCGAAGTCATCATCCTCGTCTTCGATGTCTTCATCCCCTTGAATGGCCGGTACAGCTTCCAGCACGACAAATTGTAAAGCAAAAAAGAGTCCCTACACAGAAACATCGGTTGTTGCGAGTGGGGCCAAATCTCTCTCTTTAATAGAATTTATCATTAGATCAAAGGAAAGTCTTCCCAATGGGAATGCCAAAAATTCATCGAGGTTCTCCTCCATTTCAGCGTGTTCTTTGACAATTTTTACCTTGGAGTAATGGGTTGCAGGCAGCAATATACCATCCACCAAGGCTAGACACGCATATCGCAGCCGTATTTCCTGGTCTCCCATAGACCTTCTTCTTTCGACTGTAACATTTTCTTCAACCCCAAACAGTTTTGCATAAAAGGGATTTTTCATCGGCGCGATGCCTTTTCGGCGCTTCTTTACTTTCACGGAAAATTTGCCACAACACAGCCTCGTTACTAATTTGAATTCCCTGAGAGAAAATCTGATGGGGAAACCAGCAAAAAGTATCCAGATTTCGTTATCCCTAGCAACCTTCAACTGGCGCGACATAAAAAAAGTTTGAATCCCTAGGCCAGGTGGGTTTCTCAGGGATCTCCAGGATTTGCCCAAGCAGAGACTCACGAATAACCTGAACTTCGCTTTCATCGAGTAAGTCTTTGATTTGTTCCGCTAAGCCTGACTTCTGGTATTCATTGACCCGGTGGCCAAAAAGTTTCTGGCCTGCGGCGATCATTCAAGTCCAGTTGGAGGATTCAAGTCAAAATCCTGCACATTTGGAAGCAATTTGCGTTCGCGTCAGGAGAATCTATTGAAATGGTTTTAGTCAACAAAGAGGTAATTTATTAGTATATAAATAACTGAAGTCGTTATGATGATGGTAGCTATAACATAATTTAATTATTCACAAGGTACGAGAATTCATTGTTCGATTAAGAAACAACACTTGAAGAGATACGACAACCATTTATCTGTTGGAAGCTGGAAATTCATTGAAGAGTTCAACGTTACCAATTCAATTGGACAGTACAGGACTACCAAACATTGTTACCGGTTTAGTTTTGTTAAAGACACAATTGTCTCTAATTCTGTAACCGTGTCAGACTCTGAATTCTTGGACTTGGTTCGCTTCAGTCAAATTCATGAAGGAATACCAATTCAAATTCATCAACGTTACCAATTCAATTGGACAGTACAGGACTACCAAACATTGTTACCGGTTTAGTTTTGTTAAAGACACAATTGTCTCTAATTCTGTAACCGTGTCAGACTCTGAATTCTTGGACTTGGTTCGCTTCAGTCAAATTCATGAAGGAATACAGAATCAGAGCATTTTGTGTGGTAAGTATTTATGTAAAAAATGTCTGCATCAGATTTACACTACATATTCCTAGCCTAATATGAAAGTTTTTTGAAAGATGTTCTCGGCCAGATAATGAATGTGGGTCAACTGTCTACGATGCATGTCAATAATAAGGAGGCAAAAAAAAATGATTTCGAACTAAGGGATAAGCAGTAAGTATTAAGAAGAAATATGTTTCTTTAAAATAGATTATATGTTATGTTAATGTTATGCATCGATATTTTCTATTGATATTAATGATTTACATTTTGTTAATGTAAAAACCTAAAAATTGATTCAGTGATATGCGGCTAAGTTGTACCTTATGGGAAAATTTTGCTGATCAAATCCTCGAAGCCACTTCCAAAAGTTAGACTGAAAAATTAATCTGTCTCATTAGATTTGGAAAAATTAAAGAGTTCAGAGGTACACTTTCTACATTACTAACTTCAAAGCTCCACTATTTTCTATTACTTTGGTTTCCTTACTTTGGTTTCGGTGATGTCTATTAACTTCAGACGTAAAAAGTGTTTCCAACGCTTTTGATGCCAGTTTAGTCATTATAAACCGGTCTGGATCACAGATTGACAACTTTGTGCATGCGTGAGTTCACGTTTTTTAAAGGATATGTGATAATGTCATCTTGAATATTTTGTCTATTAATACTTCCTATGGTCTCATGACATTCAAATTTTTATTGCAGATTACCAGATGATGGCTTGGCTCTTACTGTATTGGAAACCAAACCTAAAAAGGAAATTCTGGCAAAGACAGAGGATTACTGGAACCAGTTTCCTATGGTCACTGTGGCTGAACTCAAGGAATTAACCGAGGTATTTATTCAATCATCTATTGCATAATAGGCTATGTATTTAAATGTAGGTAAGAAATATACTTCTTAATAAGGATTAATGAATGTTTTTGACAATTTGTTAGGTCGGCAAAGTAAGGATCATTTGCACAGTTTACGCCATTGACACTGACTGGGGATGGTATTATTTTGGGTGCAAAATCAAAAATCATAAGAAGGTTAGAAAGATCGTGGCAGGAACTAATGGTGTCGTAGTTTTCGGAGGGAAACCTAGGTGGCATTGTAATGAATGCAATAAGACTGTCACTAATGTTGTGCCCAAGTAAGTGAAGTGCCTTCTTTATTGAACCTAGATAAGTCTACGATAATAGTCACGATTTCATCGTTTTCTTATGTCAGGTTCAAGCTGCATCTGATGGTTATGGATACAACAAGTGAGATTACTATATTGTTATTTGATACATCGGCAAGTGAGATGTTAAATTGCCAAGCATCAGAATTGCTCAACGGATCATTCAATGAGGTATCTAAATTTTATTATCTTTAGATTTAGCATTATATGATACATCAGTCAGTGCGTTGTTAAAATGGAAGTAAATCAGAATTATTTAGTTGTTTATTTACGTGTGTTTTATAATATTGTTTTGCTTAGATTGAAAATCCTGAAGAAATCCCAGAAACATTAAAGAACTTAGTCGGAAAAACATTTCAATTTGTTGTTGCTGTTGATAAAGAAAATCTCGGTGGTGGTCACAATACTTTCAAGGTTTCAAAGATTTTGAGTAACAAGGGTATGGTTGAAGATTTAACTGTTGAAGTTTCAGAGAAGGCAGTGAATATTTCTGAGCTGGTTTCTGGTGATGAGGTATATTTATATATTGTAACGATGCAAATTTATATTCAAATGTGCACAAATTAACCTTAGTCTATTGTTTTCTTTACTTAGGGTTTGTTGACTCTTACCAACACAGAGTCAATTATCGATGATGATATTCCTAACCAAGTTACCCCTACTTCAAAGAGAAAGGATGACCCTATAATTGAAGTTCTGGAAGATGAACATTTAGCAAGTAAGAAGCAATGCAAAGTTCATGTCAAAATTGAGAAGTTTGGAAATGAAAGCAAAAGTGGCTAATGTTAAGTTAGAATTATTTGTTCTAAGTGATTTTTTTGGGTATTTTGTTACTTTTTTCCTAAGTTGTTCACTGCGTGCTATTGGAACATAAACACATCATTTCAACTATATTTTGATTGCTATTATGGAATTTCTGATTCATTACTATTTAATTAGAATTTCTTATTCACTACTATTTAATTGGTTTTTTATGTAACTAATAAGCTGTTCTATATGCCATAAACACATCAATGTTCTAAATTGTACAAATTTTACTATCAATAATACTGGTTCAAAAATTAACTAAATATGTTGCAATACCTAATGCTGAAACTTACCTCATCGTGAAACTTGGATAATGTGGAATCGTATCATGTCTTTCCCAATTTTAAACCAATGCAATCAAAGTTACCTGTAAAAAAAAAGGAATTTTGTTAATCGAGATTCATTAAGATTAATAATAGCAACCTATATATATTTGTGTATCAATTTAACTTACAATATATCCCAGTATATATACGGCCTCAACTCATAGCAGTTATATCATGTTCTATTTATGGTTATCAAATATATATATATATATATATATATTATATCGAGAGGCATCAATTACGTCTTTTGAATTGATGTCTTTTGGAAAATTTATATTTTCAATATTGAAATTATGATGCATCGTTTCGATATTATCGAAAACCCTAATCGTTCTTACTCTATATATATGAGTGAAGACCTTAAGTGGTTTTATCACCCGAGACCTATCATCAAACTCTCTATTTTAAGCCGTTTCTTTTGTTTCAGTTAAGTATGGATGATATTTTTCACAATATCAGGAATTTAAACCAGTGGAGATCTAACTGGCACATATGTATCATGGTTTTTAAGTCTTGGGAATTCCAAAATTAAGGTGAACCCGAAGTGTTAAACTTCATCTTTGTCGATGAAGAGGTATGTTTTACTTCGTCAATTTCTATATAGGAGTTTTCTTTTACTAATATGTTTGTCTAATGTATAGTTTATTAAAATTTTGTAGGGTGATAAAATTCATGCTATCTGTGATGATCTTCCGAACCAGCCTTATTACAAATCAAATCTAATTGTTGGTAAATGGTTTAAGTTGCATCATTTTACTGTCTATGAAAGTGATGCAGTTAATCGTTTGGTCGATTGCATGTGGAAAATTCGCCTACTAGACAACACTGATGTGAGGAAAGAGTATAATGTAACCGATGAGCATTACATGAAATTTACAAGTTTTGATGATGTTATTAGTGGAAGATTCAACCGTGACGTACCTGTTCGTAAGTATTTTTGAATTTTTACTAAGTTTAATTTTTGTCTACATAATTATTAGTTAACATATGATTATTTTCGTCTTATTTGTCAGATGTGTTGGGTAGGATATCCTTGCTTACAGATATAGTCAAAGTAAAAGATGAGGACTTTAACCTTGTGTGTCCTGCCAACACATGTCGTCTCGAATTTGCTATTCAGAACACACAGTATGTTTGAATTTGATTTGCAGAATTGCTAATTATTTATGATTAATATTTCAACTTCACATAGCTTTAAACTGCATGTCAGTATTATGTGTTCTCTCTTTGTTAATTATTTGAATTTTATTTCACAGGGGGACAAATCTAACTTGTGTTGTTCATGGAAAACTTGCCCTTGAAATTACTAAGAAATGGTGGAATTTCAACTCCAACAATATGGTAGTAATCCTAAGTGATTTTCGTGTGGTCAATGTTGGAGGTATGTTGTAAGATATATTTGTTGATTTTAATATTGTTTTTTAAATGGTAAACTTATAGCGAGTTATATGTTACTCTTTCCATATATAAAATGTTCGTCTGATTGATGTGGGAGAAGTATCAACAGTTTTATACGATCCAGATATTTATTAGGTCAGAAGGTTCAAGCGTGCATTGTAAGTAATATAAACGTTTAAAAATTTTGTTTTTACATTTTCCCATCTTTGTTTCTAAAAATATTGACGCTAAAAGTTACTGTTTTTTTCATTCTTTCAGGAATGGCAATGATGAAGATTCTGAATAGAAGTTTCTAGAGTTTTACCAATTCCTATCATTAGTAAACTTTATTATGCATTTAAATATGACTACATTTTCTTATACATTTAAATATGTTGAACAATTTAATATTTCCGTGGATAAGTACTACATTATATTCAGATGATATTAATTGTTCCTTTCTTGATTTTTCTTTGAGGTTCTGTAATTAACGTTTTTAATAATTACGAAAATGCTAAATCGTGGCAATATTTATAACCAAGTTATGGAGAGATATGATACCTACAAATCCGTTTTATGGGGGAACCACCTTCTCCACACACTAATCAGGTTGATCTCCATGATGTAATTGTAACCTATAACAATCATATAAATTTGTATTAGTCATTAGTCATATAAATTGTAACTTCCTCAATCATCTAAATGGTAGACCAAAACGTTTTACTATTTTTCTAATTGTTCATCGAATGCAACTTTGAATTAAACATAATTGGTTTTTTATGTAACGCAGTTATCTAATTTAGTAGATATTTTAATTCTCTACAATGTTCTAAATTGGCAATTGAGATTATCAATAACACGCATTCAACATAAGATATGGATGTACGATACATACCTAATTCGCTTTTTCAGTAACTTTCTCTGTTTTCATGTTTATTCTTCAAACTCCACCTTGGTATTTACATGGAGAATAGTAAACGATTCTTTTGCTGCCAAAAGAAACCAGTTAATGAAAAAGTTTTGTTACTTTCAAAATATAATCATGAAAGCTTTTACTGTTTCGACTGAAAATTTTTATATGGGGAAACTTACCGAGAAATGAAACTTGGACAGTGTGTTGTCCTATCACAGCTTTCCCGATTTTTAACAAATGCAATCAAATTTACCTGTCAAAAAAAGAGAATTTTGTTACTCGAGATTCATTAATATCAAGAATATCTACCCATATTTAATTCTGTATCACGTTAACATACAATATCTCCCACTATATATACATAAACCCATAGCAGTTTTATCACTTAAAAAAAAACAACTACCTATTATACTACTAAATTTTCCAAATATTCAAGCAATGTCTGTCTAAGACAAAATCATAGATCTTCATCCATGGAAATCTAATTGGAAAATGCATGTCAAAGTTCACAGAAAATAGAAGACCATTGCGACCAACGGAGAAGAGTCAGTTCATTTCTTATTGGGTGATGAACGTGTAAGTGTGGATCTTATATATTTCAAACAAAATAGCATTTTTGTTAAAGTTCTTATATATTTCTGATATTGATTTAGTTTCACCTCGATACATATCTACTAATTTTAAAGCTTTTTAATTTTACATAATTGATTTAGGGAGACAAAATCCATGCTGTTTGTAACTGGGCGTGGTTGTATGAATATTTCGACAATATCATGCATGAAGGATAGTGGAAAAAAATCAGCAACTTTACCATTGTTGGTGTCGCTAATGTCCAGCGTTTAACTGACACACAGAAGGAAATTCATTTCCTTGAGAACATAGATGTTAAGCAATCTAACTATGACTCCGAAGAGCACTATCTGTCATTCAAACCATTTGATGATATCTTTCATCCTGGTGTACACATAAATCTCCATGTCGGTAAGATCTCTAATTAACACTATTATATTTTTGAAAA